TAGGTTAACAAGTCTTCTCATTTCCCTCCCTTAGTACATAATATTCCCTTAAACTTTGTAATCAACCTCTCTGTCTGTCTCTGTCTCTATGTCTCTCTCTGTCTTCATCTCTGTCTCTACATCTGTCTCTGTCTCTACCTCTTTCTCTGTCTCTTTTTTCTCTTTCCGTCTCTGTCTCTCTCTATCTCTATCTCTGTATCTCTCTCTGTGTGTCATTGTCCCTCTCCCTCTATTTCCATCTCTCTCTGTCTCTGTCTGTCTCTATCTCTCTGTCTTCATCTCTGTCTATCTCTGTCTCTGTCTCTCTCCTCTCTCTCTCTCTTCTTTCTCTGTCTCTACCAATCTTGTCTCTCTCTGTCTCCATCTCTGTCTGTCTTTCACTATCTCTGTCTTCTTTCTGTCTCTCTTTGTATGTCTCTGTCTCTGTGTGTCTCTCTCTGTCTCTGTCTCTATCTCTCTGTCTCTCTCAGAGAATTTTTTCTTTCTCTTTTTTTCTCTCTCCCCCCCCCAAAGAGTCACTTCAATTTAATTCCCTGGATGAGATCTAATCTCCTCACTTTCAACTATCACCTCTATATTCTGACCTCCATAGTTAGTCACTAAGCTTCAGGACAGCATTTCTAAACACCCACTAGTTGTCCTAGGAGCACCTTATATTCAAAATGTCAAAAACCAAACCCATCATCTTTTGTCCTAAACTAGCCCCTCCTCCCAACTTTCTTATTTTTGCTAGTGGTAGCACCTTTCTCCTAATAACCCAGCCTCCACACCTGGTGTCATCACTGTTCCCTCATCCCTAGCCCCCACCCCCACCCAATTCAACCCAAATCCTAAATTCTACCTATACCATATCTCTCTAATTTGTCCTTTCCTTATCACCATCCCCCTGCTTCAGGGTCTTATTATCCCCACACCTGGGCCTCTCACGTGGCCTACCTCAATATCTTTATAACCAGACTCCCCGCTTCAGGACTCCTCTTATTCAACCAGCAAACTACCTTCTTAATGCACAAGTCTGATTTCATCATTCCCAAGGAAAAAAAAAAACCCTGCAGTGGCTCCCCACTGCTATCAAAATAAAGTCCAGACTCCTTATTTTAGTATTCACAATCAAATACAGTCTTTATCTCATAGCTGTAACTCCCACTTTTCCCCTATGTTTACCCTGTGTTCAGCCAAACTGAACTCTGGATTGCTCCCTAACCACACAGATTCACAAACCTTGAGCTAAGAGTTTTACCACCTTTGAGAAGCCTTGGCTCAGATATTCCTGGAATGTTCTTTCATCTCTGCTTATTAAAATCTTATTCATCTCCCAAGGCCCAGTTCAAACCAATCAATCAATAAGCATTTTTAAAGCACCTACTATGTGCCAGGCACTATGTGTTAGGGGCTGGGCAAAGGTGAGGCATCCCTGTCCTCAAGGAGCTTTTTATATTCTGTTAAATTACATTTATATTCTACTTCTCCAACACACTTGTTGATTTATTGATTGAAACAAAGCACTCTAACCTTTGTAATACTAAGCTTATCCTGTTCACCTCTTCTAGGCTTCTGGCTCCAAACTTCTTCCCCAGCTTGTTTGGTTTTTTACATTACATTTACAGCCATTCTATATTCTGGCCAAGTTAGACTAATAATAGTATTAGTTATTAAATTCTATATAGTACTGTGAGGTTTGCAAAGCATTTTACATATCACATTTTGATCCTCCTAACAGCCCTGTGAGGTGGGTACTATTATTTTCCTCATTTTACAGATAAGGAAACTCAGTCTGGGAGTGGTAAAGCTTGACTCTCAGATCCTATTCAACCCTTAGCCATCACTGTACCTAGGCTCATTCTGTACCCCATGCTTGAGATGGTTTAACTTGAAATCTATGCCTCTTGCAATCTCTCTCCCTTCATTCTATGCTAAGCCCATGTGACATTGGTGGTGATGGTGGTGGTGTTTGCTTGTTCTTCATTCCCAAAGACATCAGGACATCAGGACATTAGGAAGGTGATGCCATAATTTGCAAGTGAATTGGATTTAAGTGAGGCAGGGCTGTGCAGAGTCACCAGCCTCACTCTCTCCTCTGAAGCCATCTGGGTCCAGTGGCAAGAGGTAGATCTGGACAACTAGGGTGGCTCCGAAGCAATGGGAGACCTTGGCCCTTTTCAGCTAAGGTCCTTCCCAGGTCTCAGTCTGTCTGGGGCAACACCCATTCAGTGACTAAGGCCAGATAAGAAATGAGGCAAAGAATGGCCTCTTTTACCTAGTCTCCACCTCCCCCCAAAAAAAAAATCAGTCTGGGAAGGGAAGACCCTCTGGGTTTCTGACCAAAACAGAAACAATTGCTATTTACTGTCATTCTGAGCCATCAGAACCCAAACAATGACCAGTGCTCCACAAAACTTGTATGATTTCTCTCCACTAACCAACCCCTAGTTACAATCTATATCCCCCTCTCTCAAATCTCTTGTGCTACTCCTTTGAAACTTTTATGCACTTATTATAACTTGCATTACAGATATCTGTCTTACCTAAGTTCTAGGTTGTAAGCATCTTGAGGAGAGGGACCATGTCATTTTTTGTATCCTTAGAGCCTAAGCAAGGTCATTCATTGGAACATAGTAGACCATGAATTTGGTGAATGGAATGCCTCCATGAAGTCCTGCCCTGTGTAATTTCTTCCTCTGACCTAGAACTTTGTACAGCTCTTATCTTCTGTAGTATATTTTTTAATTTTTATTTCTTTATTTTTAATTTAATTTAATCTTCTATTGCATATTATAATTATTCATCTTTGGGGCAGCTAGGTGGCACAGTGGATAGAGCACCAGCCCTGGAGTCAGGAGGACCTGAGTTCAAATGCAAACACTTGACATTTACTAGCTGTGTGACTCTGGGCAAGTCACTTAACTCCAAATGCCTCTCAAAAAAAAAAATTATTCATCTTTATGTCATTCCCCCCTCAAGCTCTACACTCCAAGCTCTTTGAGGGAAGGAACTGTCGTTTTTTTCATTTTTATATCTCTGATTTTTTTAATTTATCATTTTTATTTCATTTGTCAATCGAATGAATACACCTGAGTGTGGTATATTCATTTTAATCTCCTAGAATCTCTGGTTTCTTTTAATATTCATCTCAAGCAACACCTTCTACATAAAGCCTTATCTGATCACCCCAGCCACTTAGTGGCCTGCCTCTAGGGGTGTGCTAGTAATGTTTAACTATTGGCTCTCTAGGGGGGAAAAAGTTCCTTCCCACTTAACATTTTTAAGTTTAATCTACATTATTAAAATTTTCTCCATCACTTTCTGAAGTCTAAACAATTAACAAAACAATAAATCAAGCCCTGTTTTATGTTGATTTCTGAGGTGTAAAATGTCCACATTTAAAATTTAACAACCCACTGGCTCTTGTCTTCCTCCCAATACTACTTTATATTTATCTTGAAAACATTATGTATATACTTATATACGTTTTCATGTTGTTGCCTCCTTTAGAAATGTAAGTTCCTTGGGGGCAATTCACTTTCGGTTTTGTTTTTGTTATCTCCAGCACTTAGCATTGTACCAGGCACATAGGAAGTGCTTTTAATGATAGGGGGCGGCCAGGTGGCACCATGGATCGAGCCACGGCTCTGGAGTCAGCAAGATATCTCCCTGAGTTCAAATCAGATCTCAGACACTTGCTAGCTGTGTGACCCTGGGCAAGTCACTTAATTTTATTTGCTTTGCTTCCTCATCTGTAAAATGAGCTGGAAAAGGAAATGGCAAACCACTCCAGAATCTTTGCCCAAAAAAACCCCAGAAGAGTCAGACACGACTGAAAAACGACTGAACAAGTGTTTAATAAATGTTTGTTGACTGAAAAACACTGGGCTTGGAATCAGTTGACCGTGTATGAATCCTGTCTTTGCTGCTTACTGCCGATGTGACCTAATTTCATTTCTCTGAACCTCAGTTTCCTAATCTGGAAAATAGGAGGTTGGACTGAATCAGCAATTCTCAAAGTGTGGTCCAGGGACATCTTCCCCAAAACCCTCTCCTGGGGGTCCAAGAGGTCAAAACTACTTCTACAATAACACTAAGACACTACAACAAAATGCTTTCCAATTTGCATATATGGAATTCGGTATTTGTTTTCCTTTCCATTTAAGATGTCTAACTCTAGTTGAGAGCAATAAGGAGAAAAAAAGTGCAGAAACCTAAAATTGCTTGTAAAACTGAGACGTTTCCCATTGTTAATATGGCATTTCCAATTAAGACACGGTGCTTATAAACAAAAACTCTTTGGGAGGCCTCAATAATTCTTAAGAGGGTAAAGTCTTTGGTCCTGAGGCCAAAGAGTCTGAAAACCAACGTCTCTTCCAGCTCTAGACCTCAGAAGCTAAGGATCTAAACCCTGCCCACAAGGAGTTTACAATCTTCTAACACTCACTCTTTACGTGAAATTCTCTAATCCCAACCCTTCCCCTTCCCCAACTCTAACCATCTGGCTATCCCCAATTGGACAGGATACACGGAAAGAGGACTAAATTTGGTTCTAATCCCAGTTGTGACTAACTAGACTGGGAGCCCCCTTGGCGCACGAAATTTGGGGGATGGGGGTGGACTAGCGGGACCTTTGTACCCCCAGCGCTTAGCCTAGCACACAGTAACACTATGTTTGGTGACTTGACTGTGTGACTATTGGGTCAGTTTCCTCAACTGTAAAATGGGTTGAACAACAGGGTTATTCAAAGAGGCTTTAAAAATCTAGTTCAGTACTTTCATTTTATAAGTGGAGGAGGCTGAGGGGTTTTCGAGGATGAGAACGAAGCTTTAGAAAGGAATAGGAAAGCGTGTTTTGCAAAGTATATAGAGCTATGCGAACTAAAGAAATTATTACTACGGATAAGGTTTTTTTGCCCTGAATTTGTGGAAACCAGGTGGGTGGAAAAGGAGGGGGCTTTTCCCGCCAGAGAGGGTGAAAGGACGCGCGCCTCCCGGGCCCGGAGGGGAACGGATACCTTCAGGTCGCGCCTAGCGCCAGCAGCAGTGAGCAAGCGGTCAGAGCACCTGGTTCGAACAATGAGCATCCGCCCCTCCCCCAGTCAGCCTATAAATACCAGGCGCGCGCTCCCTCTCCCCACGTGGGGCTGAATGGGGCTGTAGGCTCCGCTGTGCGATTGGTCCCTTTGCAGCCAATCAAATGAAGCCGGCAGGCAGAGCCACTTGCCGGTTGGCTGAGGGCAGCGGCAAGGTTGGAGGAGGGGGGAAACGTGGAAAGAGGTGAGGGGTTCCCTTTTGTTCTTTCTACTCGAGCGCTTTAACCCTGTCGTGGGCAGTCCCCTTCCTGGGGAAGGGACTTGAACCTCGTGCTCCCTGCTTTCCCCTCCCCCACCCAGGAGCTGGCTATCCCAGAGAGATCGGGCCGCGCAGTCTCAGGACTGTTGGTGCCCAAGTCTCCTGTTAAAGGTTTCCAAGCCCTCCAGGACCAGCCTGCATCCGAGGGGCAGCGTGACAAAAACAGGAAACGGAGGCCGTGAGGAGGCCCCGGGGCCCTACCTCACCTTGGCCCGGCCAGATGCAAACAAGTCACCCAGCCTTCGAGTTGCCCGCTCCCACATAAATGAGAGCAAGCACGTGCCCCTTCTCCCCAACCTGCTCTCACCTTAGGTTAAGTGGCCAGAGGTGCTCCTCAGCCTGCTGGGCATTGACTGAGCCAAAGAGGCCCGTGCAGAAAATTTCTGTTTTGTTTTTCTGGTTTCCTAACTTCCAGCTCTTCCACCTGCACCTCCTTCCCCCCTGCACCTCAACCCCCACAAACTTCGGCCTTCCTTGTTTACCAGCAGACTGGAGGAAGGCAGAAGGATAAACTGAGGGTGAAGGAGTGGAAGCAATCTTGCTTAGTGACCTTGGAGACTTTATTTCTCACCCTTAGTTTCCTTTTCTATAAATGGGTATTTAGAAAAACTGTTTTCGACCAAGGAATTGTGAAGACTGGCTTTTTTTTTTAATGACCTTAAGATCTTTGTAAACAGTAACTCATCAATAATGAAAGACCGGTGTCAAATTTCCCAGAGAAAACACTGCTGAGGAGGAAGATCTCAGGAAGGGAGGCTAGGCAAGAGAGATTTTAGTAAAATGAGATATTTTCTAAGTGAAAATCCTATCACTAATCAGAGCTCTAGATTCCCCCCATCCCATATGAGCCTGGGGGATTGGTACCTCCTGCTTTGGCCAGCTGTCAGAGGAAGGATACTCTGCAAATTCTCCCTAAATCATCTCATTTCAATCTCTATCTGAACTGAACTCCCTCTAGTATTGACAGCTGCACCCCCCATTAGAGGAGAATGCACTGTTTTGAGTTCCTAGTTGGGGTGCACTGTATGGATTCCTACTGACCACAATGTAGGTCAAGGACTCTCAGATGCTTCCCTTCCCTACTCCCTCCTTCATTTTAACACCTTGCCCGAGAAACTAGATGGAAGCATTTCATGGGGAGGACTCGGCCCTAGCTTTGTCATTCTGTCTTTGGTACTGGGTCATATCTTTAAGAAGACCGTGAAAAGAGCTGCCCCAATTTTTTCCTTCTTTAAAAGAAGGTTTCCTTTCATTAGTTATGAGCCCCAGATTGACTCTTCTTTCTCCAAACCACCAGGTGGTAATTAAGACAACCTACCAAGGCAGAGTCATAGGCTAAGCCAAATGTACCGTCTCTTGGTTGTGCTGGTGACTCCATTCATAGGTCTGGAGCAGAAAGAGACCTTAGAGATGTCTTGTCCAACTCCCTCATTTTACAAATGAGGGAACTGAGGCCCAGACAGGGAAAGGGATTTATCCCAAATCATACAACTAGTAAGCAACGGGGCTAGGACATAAATCCAGGTCTTTGAACTCTAAAATCAACGTTCATGCCGCTGCACCATGTTGAGTAGGGGAAACCAGGATAACAGGATTCTTCGGAATACCGCTGAAAAGATAATCTGCTCTGACACGAAAAAGCAGCTAAACTTGGACTGATACGAACAAGAATACAACTCCTCAGCCTAGTGATTAGTGACTAAGATAGTAGGACCAAAACAATGAAGTGACTTGCTGGCGATCATAGATGTACACCTATATTTCTTTAGGCAAAGATGTAACCAGAAAGGAAGTGAATTAGCTTGATGGATTTAGAATTTAAATTGGAACTCAGAATGTTCTGCTTGGTGTTTGTATCTCCATCCAGTCTACTTTTAGCTGATAACTCATAGAGTATTCAGATTGACCCCTCAATTTTGTGATGCAAATAACCCACTACTTACAATGCAGGGAACCCTGAAGTCCCTATGGCATGTCGATACATTAGTAGTCTCTGGTACAGTTCACGGCCATAGGTCCTTGGCAGGTGTCTTGTGGATTCCCCAGAGACAGGCAGTTGAGAGACAAACATCTGCAATGTTTTTGCTGTTGAACAAATTAAATCTATTACGCAAACTCCTTTGGGGGTGACAGGTGTACTGAGGGCCATCTCACAAAACGTACAAAGTTGCCTTTCTTGCTTCCGGATGACCAGCATTTGGACATTTTGGAGATGACAAACCTCCTGGCTATTTCTATCTTTGTAGTGATTCAATATGAAAAGGACTTGGTATTTTGGTATAATATGGTAAACCTTGAGTGATTTCTTGGTTTTCTCCCGGAGGTGGGGGGAGGTGGCAGGGTGTTGTATCTGTTAAAAGCATGAGACGGATTCTCTTTTTCAAGTCTTTTGTATGATAAGCAGTATTCTGTGTCTCTCGAATTCCCTAGAGATGGGGAATGGGCAGTGTTTTTTGGGGTACCACTTTTTTCATGCTCCCTGGTGGAGCATAGGTTCAACTAGATAAACTTTCCCTTGGCCCCTGACTGCCTTTTCCATTTTGTGTTTCCTTTCCTGAGCAGGTATGTGATCAAACGTTGTTTTTGCCATAGATGAGTCCAGGTTTGGAGGCAACCTTGTGAGTTTGAGAGGTCTGGGGCTCCTGGATCCAACGTGGGGAGGAACTAACTTGCATCGAGGGAAGTTTCTGCATCAGAGAGGACCACCAAGAAGAGGCATCCAAGGCTCTTGCCTGAATTGAGGCAGACAGTGCAGAGCTAAGGGGAAATGTAGAACGCTTAATCAGCAGTCCAGCAAACTGCGTTATGTGCGTTATGTTTTGATGAGGTTTAAGTATCAGCCTTCTAGCTATTTGTAACAGTAGTTATAAGTTAAATTGCTGAATCCTATTCTGTCATTATGTACTGTGAGTCTTTCATGTCTTTTAACATTTCTTTGCGGGTAGGAAATAAATATTTATCCCATACCTGATTCATATTGCATATTGAAGTGCTTTTCTGCTCCCCTCTTTTAGGAAGCCTCTAGACATGAGCCCAAACCAAAGCTTTAAATAACTTTTCCCCAGAAGTGAGGTGGGAGGCAGGGAGGCAAAGAGCATTAAAAAAGTGAGTCTAGATCCCTGTCTCAGGCTCCCCCAAGACTGAACCAGGTCTAGACCACATCTAGCGTGGGCCCAGAGTAGAAGGGCCCCCTAATGAGGGGGTGTAATGCTCCAGCCCCTTGGGCCCAAGGGTGATTCTTTTTATTAGGCTAAGTAAGAACCAGGAGACCTCAGGAGCAGAGTGATGTAGGGGGAGAAGGCAGAGGGGCTGTCTCACACACAGAATCAGATGATTCTGAATTCAGGAGAGGAGATGGAAGTGGTCATTTTTACTTGTTCTTTTAGAACAGGAGATTCATCATGTTGTCCAACCCTAATTGAAGGCTGTGAGTAAAGGGCATGAGGACAAAAGCATGTGGCAAACAAACACAGAATGGATAAAAAAAAATCTAAGTGAAGAACACAGAGCACAAATAACTCAATGCAATATAGCCAGAGCACTGGGGAGGGAAGAGAGGACTGCCCACAAAATAAAGCTCTTCCTAACCCAGAAGAACCATGTCCTAATCTAAATTTGTTATAACTCTGGGACTTTTCACGGCCTGCTGTGACGTAATTATTGGAGGGCTGGAGGGGTGGGATTCATAATCCCTTAGGAAGCCCACTCTAACATGAAAGGAGTTTCACTGTTGTCAAATGGAGCAGTCAGGAAATAGCCAACATTTGGCTGGAAAAGATGGACTTAGCCAGAAGAGAAGTTAGGGTGGTTAGAGAGGAAAAAGGAAACAGACTGCTAGGGTGATAGAGAGGAAAACCTAGGTCACCTCTCCCCCAGAGAGGAAATCCCTCCTCTTGAACCATCAGAGTATGATTTAGGGACACCATCGCCTCATGAACCCTACTATGGGAGCTAGAAAAACTGTTAGCGCCACTAATACAAGCAACTCAGAGATTTTCTCATTTACACGGGATCCAAAACATAGAATGAGAACTGGAGGACAAAAAAAAAAACTTTAGAAAATATCCTTCCCCACAAATCTTAAATCACAGACAGATCTCCATCTATTCCATTCAGAACGCTTGCCTGGGACAAGATTTCCATTAGACAGTCCCTAACTCCACCCTGTCCAAGTTGCCATCCAGAGTGTCTGAAAGCCACCACCTGGCACAAGCGCATGCCAGAGTGCCTTTTGTTCATCAGCATGCCGATGGTGATGGTGATCCCTGGACCGACAAGCTCCATGTCTGTCCTTGGATGCAAAGAGAAAGTTACTGTGTCACCTAATACAAATGCTTCAACAACCAGCTTCTGAGGCAGGCAGGAAGGAGAGAAGAGGTCTCTGCAACAGCTCAGTGTTCAGCCATCAGGATCTGGGTTTCAGGAAAGATTCTATAGAACCCAGAAAAAAAGAGGGCATTGACCCTAAAAGTGGTGAGGAACTAGGTGTCTGAGGTCAGAGGGCCTTGGAGGTGGGGTTGAGATTATTACATTATGACCCCAGGATTCTTCAGTTTTAGACCTACTTATATGATTTATTTGCCCTAACAAGTACATCCCCTAATCAGAGGTTTAAACCACCTCCACTTATGAATGAATACAGCTAGGAACCCCTAGGAGGGCATAGCTTTGAATAAAAAAATGGTCAAGCAGAGTGACTGAGTAAGAGAGAACGCTCCAGTTTTAATTCTCATTTTT